TGTGGGTGTTTAATGTATTCTAGACACTGGCCCTTATCATGTATGAAATTTGCAAATTCCTTCTCTATTGAGTTGCTTTTTGATTTACTTTGTAGTGTTGTCAGAAGCACAAGACCCAACACTTTGGATAAAACCCACTTTGTTTTTTGTTTGCTTGTATTTTAACATAATACTGAATCTGAGATTATGTAGTTACATAGTAGTTACATTAGTCTTTGTGGACAAATCCCTTAGATTCAGCTGGTTTTTTTTTTTTTTTTTTTTTTTTTTTTTTTGTTTTTAAATCCACTTAACGATAATCCTTGTAGATAGCATGAGGTAAGGGTCCAAGTTTATTTTTTCCCACATGGGCATCCAGTTGTTGAAGGCAACTCTTTGATGAATGGCGTCAGCAGACTTATTGAAGATGAATTACAAGTGAACACTTATTTCTGGACTCTCAACTTTAGCCCATTGCTTAAGTAAAAGCAATAAACCAGTAAACCAGTAAAACCAGTCTTGTAGAAAGTGTGAAGAGTTTGTATTATTCCTTTTAAAATTTTTGACAAGATTTATAAGTGAAGCTATTTGGTCCCGGACAGGTGCTTTTTTAATTTTACTGTTTACAGATTTCATCTTTTAATCTATTAGGTTTCTCTTAAGTTGGTTTCTGTAGCCTTCCCAGGAACTTATTGATTTCATTAGCTTTTTTTTGCTGTCTTAGTACTTAGCCCATGAACTCATGATTGCCCTGCCTTCCTCTCACAAGAACTGGGATTAGAGGTATGGGACCCTATGCCAGCTTCTTTGCTGTGATGGATTGAATATGAGTGCTCACCATGAATGCATAAGGAGTGGCACTACTTGAAAGGATTAGGTGTGGCCTTGTTGGAGGAAGTGTGTCACTCGGGGTGAGCTCTGCTCTGCTGCTGTCTGTTAATCTGTATGTAGAACTCCTCCAGCACCATGTCTACCTGCATGCCACCACATTTCCCGCCATGCTGACAATGGACTAAACCTTTGAAATGGTAAGTCAGCCCCAATTAAGTGCTTTTCTTCATAAGAGTTGCCAATGGTCATGGTGTGTCTTCACGGCAATGGAACACTGAAACACATGCTTACTATTATGTATTTATATTTTTCTGCATTCCTGATTTTAGTAATTTGAATATTCTTTATTTCCTCAGTCAGTATGATGTAGGCTTGTCTATTTTGTTGATTTTTAACTTTGGTTTCATTGTTTTTTAATTATTTAAAAAAATAATTTGTTTCTGTTTTAGTATTGTTTCCTTCTGTTTCCTATGAGTTTACTGTTTTCTAGTTTAATTGCAAGGTTAGGTTACTGACTTGGTATCTTTAAAACTTTTTTTTTTAAACAAAGTTACTGAGCCAGAGACATGGCTCAGTGGCTGCTTGCTGTTCTTCCAGAATACACATCACTACCACCGCACTTTACAAAATATCTAGTTTACATCATTTACTGTGCTGATTGTTTCCATTTTATACTATTTCTTTATTAGTTTTTATGCTTTAAAAGGAATTTATTTTTATGTGCATTGATGTTTTGCCTGTATGTATGTCTGTGTGAGGCTGTCAGATACTCTGAAACTAGAGCTATACTGTTGAGTTACCATGAGGATGCTGGGAATTTGAACCAAGGTCCTCTGGAAGAGTGGCCTGCTGAGCCATCTTTCCAGCCCCGGATTTCATACTATTTTCTAATTACTCTTGTGGCTCCTCCTTTGGCTAAGTTAGGGAGGTGTTGTTGAATTTGCAATGTTTTGGTAATTGATCCCCTTTCATTCTACTGTGAAGAGCACATGGTCTTTGCAATGTCTTTGGTTGGGGATTGCTCAAATGTGCTAAGTCTGTTTTAGAATGTGCTAGTCCCCACCCTTGTTATTTCCTGTCCTAGCTAACATGTTTAATGCAAGAGATGAGTATATTTTTGTCCAGTTCTAGAATGTAGTGTGAACTTTACAAAAATAGGACTGTTATATATATATATATATATATATATATATATATATATATATATATGATTTTATTTCTATGCCACCCAAATTATGTAGTCTTTGCTGGTCTGGACTTGTAGACCCAGGGTCCTTGAACCTAGATATGATCCTTTCTGGGACCATAGAATAGTGCTCCCTCAGGCCCAGCTTGCCTGAGTTTGTGCAGTAGTTTCTGTAACAGCTGGGATTCATGTTTGCTCTGCCCTAAAACTGAAGACAGACATTAAGTGCCTGGTAAATGAAGGGTGAGGGGCATAAAAAACTGCTGAGCACTGTCCCATGCCTAATTGGTGGAGGATTTCCTTGGTGATCTGGGAGTAGCTTTCAACAGCCCTCACATGGAGACAGGGCACACCTTCCCTTTGGTAGTGACTCCTGCATCTTGTGGGCTGAAACTGAAGGACACAGGAACTGGTGTATCTCTAGAAACAGGAATCACCATTTTTGTTATGCTTTTTTTTTCCTCTTAGGTTAGATCCCTGAATCACAGATTAAGTTTTAAGTCCATATTAAAATCATCTGCCTTTTTACCAAGGCAGACACTTGCTAGATCTTTTAGAGTCACTGTTTAGAACACTGTCTAGAAACAGGGACAGGCTTCCTGGTGGAAATGGTTAAGTAACATAGTGAGGGTCATTTCTAAATGCTTGATTGGTATAGCTCCCAGTGATGTAGAAACAGCCTGTGGACAGACAACCATGATTTTCTTATTCAGCTCAATGCTTTTACGTTTTTAAATTTGAACCCAACTAGGCCTCAATCCACTCATGGGGTTGTATGCTCATGTTGGAGTACAGACAAGTGGAATGTATTGGGTCATTCTTCCCCAATGCCTAGTTTGCTAGCCTTGTGTGGGTAGGGTTCCAGTTTTGCTTTTTAAAGCCACTCAGACAATTCAAATATACAATCAGAGCAGAACCCACATTCATTCTGACGGACCATCTCAGGTCAAGGGGTAGTCAGCTAGGTGTGAAGTGTACTTTTTCTGGGGCCTGGCCACCAACAGGCTGAGAAATGATGCAGCCCAGTGTCCCTAGGTTCCATTTTCTTACAAGGACTTGGATGACAAACAAGTACGTGTGGTCACTGTCTGCTTTGCTTTCTCAGGTCCTGGGTAGCACCCCAGGATGGCAATGTCCGACTGCCCCAGGCCTCTCCCTTCCTCTTCTGGACTCACCCTGGCATGTTATGTCATGTGAGAAGTCTGTTCAGGCGCACCTTCCCACACACCTGCTAGGACACAAACCCGGGGCTGTCGCATAAGCTTCAGGTAATTCACACTCAGGGCTAGAGCAAGTTGGCTCTGAAAGAATACATCAAGAGACGCCATCAGGAGAGGCAGGAACAGACAGGCATACCCAGAGGGGCCCAGGACCATTTCAAGGCTCACTATTTTGTAGGTGCCAATTTGGTGACACACACCCTCCTTCCTTTGGGGAAGTCATACCATGCTATCCATCCATGGGGACTTGAGAAGTAGCAGTGGACAGAGGGGCTGCAGCCCCGAGCCAAACACCACCGCGTAAGCACATTTGTGAAACTCGCGGAAAACCCCAAAGAAAATGCCCTCACAGGAAACCTGGCCAGGGAAGGACTCATGGAGGAATACTCCTATGTGTTAAGAAATATTAGTTTTTATTTAACCAGTTTTCACAGCTGAATATTTATCCTATAAAAACTTTACAGATTGTACAGTTTATATATAGTTCAAACTACTGAACAAAAGAGTAGGTCCCACAGATGCAAAAATACTGTACCAATCCATCCACGGTAAAGGCAGATTTACACACTGCACAGCGCTCCACACGCTGGGGAGGCGTCAGTTCTGAGTATAAACTTCAAAACTGTACAAAAATAAGGTTTCGATTTTATTTCAATCTTCATACATTCAATATGATTGCAAGCCCAGAAGCCTAAGTAGTAATAGGCACCTGTAGTCAGGAATCAGTCCCCACTCCATGGGGTACTCGTGAACACGATACTGTGCACAGTATACGGCAGACATAAAAGCAGAGACTGCAAACAGTAAGTGTCAAATATAAGGTAGTTCTTTTCTGTTTGGAAAGGAATTTCTGTATTTAATAGTGTGCCAAGAGAATTTTAAATTAAATAAAATATATTCTACGTGAACCTAAACATTACACTTTATAAACATAAAAATACTTTTTTTTTGGTGTAATACATCAATCAAATCTGCACATAGGCAAACAAAACTATGCAAAGTAGTATTTCTCACCCAGCCACAAGAAGCACTTACGTAGTTATTTTTTCAAAAAGGTCAGAAAAACTGTTTAAACTCACTAAAGCTAATTCATAACTTAGCAAGTAGCGCTCAGGTTATGGAGTGACTCACGGACACTGCACCATCCGTTTTCCTCTGCAGACACGATTTCTTCATGTTAGCTGGGTAAGAACAGGACGCATTAAAAAGGGGAGAATTGGTGGGCATGACAGCATGAACCCATAGTTCATGTGGGATTTTGCATCAATGATGCTTTTCCTACAAAGTTGGTTTTCATTTTGATTAGAACCTTTTCAGCATTGTGGTACTTGCACCTCCCTTATCTCCCTAGATGCAGGAACATGTTTCAGACATTTCCGCACCTCTTTAGGTCGAGGGAGGAGGCTGGCTAGCATTCTTTAGGGTCTGTAATCAAGATAAAAAAAAAAAAAAAAAACAAAAGAAACAAAAAAACAAAACAAAAAAAGAAAACAAAAAAAAAACAACAAAAAACCCCCAAAAACAAAAACAAAACAACAACAACAACAACAACAAAAAAAAACCAAAAAAAAAAAGGAAACAAACCAAATGAATAAAACATTATTGCAAATTTTTCTGTCACCCCAAATGAAAACATAATCCCTTAAAAAACAAAAACAAAAACCCACAACAAAAACCCCACAACTAGCTTACAAGAAAATTAGAGCTTCTAAGAGCAGCCTGGTGCTCAATTACATTTTTATACTGTGTATACATGAGTATAAAATAAAGACGCTTGGACAAAGAAGCTTTGTAGTTATTTTAAAGTTACAGTACTTAAAAACTCCTTGGTAATAAATAGCTTGGATGTTTCCAGTCCTGCTTCCAAGCACGAGCTACTGTTGAGGATGGCCGTGGCAAGTGGGAGCCACTGATGTCCTGCTCAGCCTGCCACTCAAAACTCGTCGATTTTCCTCTGTAAGTACTTTAACATGGAGTCCATGCCCTGGACCGAGCCCCAGATTCTCTTCAGCACCTCACATTCTCTCTCGTTGGCCTGCTCCAGCTCCACCTTCATGTTACAGCGTACCAGGGCTTTGGATTCCTCCAGGACCTGCGGCAGTGACAGACGAGAAGAGAGAGGTTAGTCGTCCGTAGGTACTAAACCTTTCTCCACAAGCACGATAGAAACCATCAAACCTTTACCCGCCAGCTCTCTCATAGTTTAACACAGCTAGCCATGCACACTTGGGAATGTGAGTTCCACATCCCTGGGACTCAATCAATCTTGGGCAGAAATATGCAGGAAAAAAAATGTTTACATCGAATATGCAGACTTTCTCAAACAGGCCCTGCATGGCATCTACAGAGACGACCTGTAGTACATACAGAGCTCCATGCAGTGTAAGGGGTTTCAGCACTCGGGGATTCTGGCATCCACGGAGGAGGGAAAGATCATGGCACAGAATGCCAGGATATTTAACATTAGATACGGAAACTTGAAATGGCTCAAGCTATTTCAAGACAGATGGTTTATTATGCTGACGCACACCTACCAACAGACCAGCGTGGACACACCACCACTGCTGTGGGATGGGAGGGCCCTGAGTGTATATGAGGCTTAATGAAATTTCCCAGAGTGACTGTAGATGGAATTTTCTAAATAAAACATAGCTTAATTTTAACTATGGACAGCAGCTTTTATTAGTGCATGGGATTAGATGAGAGTTGGATGGATCACTTGAAACATTTCACACACTGCACCACTAAATGCAATGTTAGGAGACTCACTCATCATTCAGCACATTTACTAAACAAAAATCCCCAGGCCTATATATATGTTTACTTAAAGCATAATTAAATGAAAGGACTTCACAGAAGGTAAGACATGGTTAACACTGGATGGGGTAGCCCAACACAGGATATGCGAAGTACTAAGTGTCTTGCCGGTATCCATTTGTATAAGGAAGAACAGGCAAACAGACCTGGAAAATGGCACAAGTCTAATTTAATCTCTGTGGAGGAAAAGGTTTACTTTATTTAAAAGCAAAACAAAGAAAAAACAAGTAAAAAAAAAAAAAAAAAAAAAAAAAAAAAACCATTCTGACGTACAACTGGGTTACATGAGGCCAGCTCCTTGATGCGAACCATGACTTCCTGGGTGAAGGTCCCTGGCCAAAACACCTGGGAAACCAGGCCCTTGCCACATGCCTCCTGTGCCGTCAGCTTGCGCCCACTGAGCAGCATTTCATTTGCCTGAAAGGAAAAAGAGTTGACACGATGTGAAACACAAGGGGAGGAGAGTGGAGAAGAGGTCTTGGAAATTCAACCCTCAGAAATCCAAGCTGAGGATGGATTTTTTGAAGATGTCAGAAGCTGCCTCATATCCTCTAGTGGTCACTAAGAACAGACCACAAACAAAGCATGACCAAGTGGGTAGATGGAAAAGTAATATCCTGGGCCAGTTACAAAAACAAAACAAAACAAACAAATAAAAAACAAAACAAACAAACAAAAAACCAAAATAAATGACAAAAAGGCTTGCTTCATGATGTAATTCAGATCCACATGGATGTGGACGAAATCCAAGTTGGGGGCGATTTTGTGGTAAATTTGAGATTGTTGGTGTAGGTTCCTCTTTTATACAAGTTTCTCCTCTGTTAGCCCTTCCCACACAAGTGAACACATTTAAAATGCAACCTGGGTACATGAGTTGGTAATTCGTGCTCTAAAGGAACTGAACCCAACATAAAACTACATTTTCCCTTTTTATAGACAATGTTTCATGGCAGTGGCACGTCATTACTAAAGGGGTCACACCTCAGAAGCCACATTGTTGTCATACAGACACTATCCAGGAGGGACCGAGTGTACTTCAGTTACTGTCATCCATCTGAAGAGGTTCTGAATTACTTTACAAGACTGACTGGTGAAAACTAAAGGAGCTTCGCTTTTAAAAACGAGAGGTTCAAGGCCACTGTTCATATCCTGGCACAAGGTGTAAGGACCCCACATCACTAAGGACAGGCTCACAGTTGCTGTGGCTGGCTAAGAATGAGAAGGTTTGCTCAGCAGACTGCACAGCAGCTGATGAGACCATGCCCAGCCTGAGGTTTGTCTTGCACAGATAATCTTGCTGAGACTCCAATGGTCCCAAAGAGACCAGGGAAATACACTTCTAGATGGATGCTCGTTTCTTCAGAGGCAAAACTCACACAGTGACCAAATGTAACCCCTGGATCCCATGGAATATTTGAACCTTGCAATCCAGAGCACACAACACACAATGGAGATCAAGTGTACAGCTGACTTACTACACTTCCAACAGGTCAGACACCGTAAACAAACTGTGTGCGTCTCCTATGTGCAAACTCCCCACATGGGTCTGGGAGGTCTTGAGAGCATCATACAAAGTGTAGATGCCCTCCAAAGCCTTGAGCTCAGCTATGAACAAGCTCACAGCCTGGTATGTTCTCTGAACGAACAGTCCCCCTCAGTGAAGAGATGATCCATAAACATCTATAAGACCCTGATTTGACCTTATTTTGGTAGTTTAGAGAGGGTGAGGGGAGGGCCCCTGATTCATATCCAGCTCTGGAGCACTCAGGATGTTCTCTCTTTGGAGATGACAACACCAGTCGTGCAAGTTAAGTGTGTCCTCAACACAGCAGATATTAATGAACTTGCCAGGCCCAGGAAGTCCATCTAGAGCACTTCTTCCCAGACTTTCCCTTTGGTCCCATCTGTCCTTAGTCATTCCCTCTTTCCCATCTGTGAAACACAGTCCAGACCAGCCTTGAACTCATCTGGCTCCAGCCTCGGAACACACCCTACTTTATACACACCACTTGCTGCCTCTGGAAGACAACTCACAGCTCTGGGGACTGCCTGCTGCCCGTGTCTATCTCTTTTCCTTGTGTTGCCTATTTGGGCCAGTCACAACTGCCTTTGGTCTGGCCTACACATTGTCTTGGCATCTCATCCCCCTTCTCTTGGCTTGCCTGGCTCTACATCCATTTGTTACCAGACAGTCTTTTATGGTCTGTTGCCCCTCCCTTCCCCCCTGCCCAATTTTACATGGTTAGGATGTGCAGGACAATGGGAGAATTTTAAATTTTATTCAAGAGTATAAGACAGAACTGATTCAAGGCTGTGAATGTACTCCATGTAAACAGGTAGCAAGTCATTTTAAAATAGAGGCATGAAGAACCAGCAAATTGCAATACCCCACAACCCACATCCAACCACTACCAACAAACAAGGACCCATTAAGGAAAACCATTTCCTTGGTCAGACTAAATAGGCTGAACCACACCCTGCTACTCTGCAGTAGTCTTAAAATAGGAAGTCAGCTGTAAGTATGGGGAGGAAGGATGGCAGCTAGGACTGCTTCAAGATGTTAAGAGGATAATCAAGAAAGCTCTGGTTGAGCTAGAGGTTAGGAAACCAGTCCTTAGCTTGATACATCTATTATACACGTGAGCAGGACCTCGTAGTAACAGGTACATAGATGGGGGCCTTTGTCTGAGCCTAGACCATCCTTCCCATTCTCCTTGGCAAAGACTACCCAAAGTGTCAAATACTGTACTTGTCCTGAATATTTTTTAACATAAAGGGGTGGGGTTCTTAAGATAGAACTGTGAAAGGTGTACAGTGCACAGCACTTACTCTATGATATCTGCTGGGGTGGCGGCAGTAGACTGCAGAGCAACAGACTCCTAAGCTAAAGCCACACCCAAAGCAGTTAGGCAGGCAAGTGTCTTACCCCCATGGGACACATTGAGGATGGCTCACAGAACTGGTCTCATTCATCTGACAGTGGTATTCCTTTGATTTAACTATCCTGGCAGAATTTGTATACGACTCAGCAGGGAAAGCCCAACATGTCCCAGGCTCCACTCGGCTGCTGAAAATTCAAGTGCAGCAAAATGCCACGAAAGAAAGTGTAACCTTTTAGGAGTCACCTTCAACTAGGGCTCTCACCAACACAAATCACCCCAATAATACTTGGCCACTTGTTGCATGGGCTTTAGTCAAACATGGTGCTTACAAGATGGGAATTTACACTGTATGGTGTAGGCTCTCTGCTGCTCAGAAAAGGTTTTCACCCGGCTCTGGGAGACAACCTGGACTCCAGTGGGTGGGTGAGTGGGGTAGAGTCCTGTTTTAGAGGATACGGAGTGGCACCATTGACTTCTAATGACCAGCATCTCTTCAGTTGTGGAATCATGAAATGGCTCTAGCCATGGCTATGCTATATGTAACAACAGTGGAGAATAGCTGTACCATCAGATTACAAAAAATGGCGGCATTCATATGGGCTGATTTTCAAGCCGTCCTTCGGGAAACTTTCCCAAGGCCAGTGAATTCTTTAAATTTTAAAATTATTTATTGTGTGTGTGTGTGTGTGTGTGAGAGAGAGAGAGAGAGAGAGAGACACACACACAGAGAGAGAGAATGTATGCTGCTACACATTCGTGGAGAGCAGAGGACAACTTGTAGGAGTTAGTTGGCTTTCTCCTTCCATTATGTGGATCCCAAGGATGGAACTCAGGCACACCTGCTGAGCCATCTCATTGGCCCAAAGCCAGTGAACTTTTGAAGTCTCCACACTGACAGCATTTGGTTCAAGGGCCCCAATTCGAAAAAATGTACCTGCTCAATGGTATACGCATATCCAAGACTGTTCAGTATCTCTTTCAGATTGGCCCTTTGTGTGCCCCTTTACCCATCACACATCTATAAAGAGCCTCTAATACAGGGGGAACAAACACACTGCCTGATTTAATTTAGCTTTGACAATGGTTCTCAACCTTCCTAACACAGTTCCTCATGTTGGGGTGATCCTCAACTATAAAGCTGTTTTCATTGCTGCCTCATAACTGTAATTTTGTGACTGCAAAGACTCAGAATGCAAAAATCTGTGCTTTCTGATGGTCTTAGGTGACCTTTGTGAGTCATTTGACCCCCAAGAGGCCAGGACCCACAGATTGAGAACTGCTGGCTTAGTAGGTGATAAACATTCTTTATTGCCAGAATTGGAAATAACTGTTGTCAAATGATCTACTTTAGCAAGAGCTCACAACGAAAGCTAAAACTGATTATACTGGCAATGGCCAAAGGTTATTAATCTTGACTGTCAACCTGATGGGACTGAGAATCACCTTGGAAACAAATGTCTATATTTGCGAGTTTAGGTCAAGTAGGGTCACAAGATCCACCTTAAATGGGGGTGATACTACTGCCTGGTACGACGTCCTGCAGTGAATACAAGTTAGAAGCTGACAGCAGCATTCCTCTCTCTCCTCCCTGACTGCAGATGCAATGTGACTGGCACCTTAAGCTCCCCATGCCATGATGGATTGCATCCCCAACTGTGAACTGAAACAATCCTTCAAGCTGTTTTGTCAGATTACTTTTGTTCAACACAGCGGTATAGAAAATTAACCCTTGGGATCAGGACTGGGTTTGTTACTGAGATAACCCTGATCATACAGTTAGACTTTGGGGCTAGAAAATCCCCAGAATGCTGTAAAAAGGGCTTAATTAGTTATTCTGGTCTAGTTTAGAAGACCAGAGTGCTGAGAGAGAACAGGGACAGTGGAGTCCTGGCTCCTGATGTTGCCTCCAGCAAGAAGGACTCTATAGGGAACTGGGTGAAAGGTCATTCACGTAATATTCTGGCCTATAGCCCGAAGACAGTCCACTCATGGCCTAAAACCTTGAGTGAGGCTGAATACAGAATGGACCCATCTGTTTAGTGGAGGAAACATGAAGACAGGATAGCACTCTGGTGGGTGGTAAAGCCATGCTCTCATTTAGGTCCACAGTAAGAGAGTAGAAACATCATGAAAAATACAGTTTAATGAGGAAAAGGACACAGTGAGTTTACAGACAAGGCAGATGTAGTTGTTAAAAGAGAAACCTGGCACTCTGCCCTGGGATATCTGCCCTGAAGGAAAGACTCCACATGGAAGGCTCTGACTCCCAAGAAGGCAGGTTCACTTGAAAGAAGCCTCAAGTGAGATGCTGGAGAATGGTCTCCGTGCTCAGAAACTATTGCCTGGGAAGTACTCTTTGTGTACACCATACAGCCAAGGCAAAGATGCCGCTAGAGTAGCGGTTCTCAACCTGTGGGGTCAAGGGCACTTTGGCAAACCTGTCTCCAAAAGATGTTTACAGTACTCCTCATAACAGTAGTGAAATTACAGTTATTAACTAGCAGAGAAAAAATTTTTATGGATGGGGTCACCACAACATGAGGAACTGTATTAAAGGGTCACAGCATTAGCAAGGTTGAGAACAACTACTCTTGAGCTTTGGTTCATGGGCACCAGTCTCTATCCACCCAGGGTTGGTAGCAAGAACTTGGTAGCATTGTCCATATGGTACTTAAATGTAAAGATGTAAGGTACAGATGAAAAGAGGCAAGATTTACAGGATCCCAAAGTTTCTTCCACGGTTTCAGAGACAATGTTAGTTAGGCAAGATCCAAGTCCCTGAAAGGTTGCTACATGAATCTGAAGATGAAATCTAAGCTTTAATAGTGATTCCAGGATGCTGGAGATGGAAGGATCTCAGGACTTTATGTGTTGCAGGCAGCAGAGTTTGGGGGTCAGGTAATTCCCCAATCCTTTTGGAGCTCAGACAATTCTAACACCAGTTCGACAGTGTGAGATAGATACAAGATACGGTAGCTGATCTACTAAATTCGGTTCAATCATATGCTTCCATCATTCTCTGTGGATGTGAATATTCTGTACTGTGGTGTATTGGAAATATGTGTTTTTGACTTAATAATGTAAGATTACCTTGACTTTCAGATTACACTTGGACTTTTAAAGTACTGGGACTATAAAAAAAATCAAAACAAAAAACAAAACCTATGAAGACCTACAGTTAGAGTGAATGGCGTGGAAGGGTATAGTTTAAAAGTGATGCTTGTCAAGTGGGCAAGGAATAGGCTTATGATGGCTAATGTTAACTGTCAATGGGACATAGAATCACCATGAGAAAACTCCTGGTTAAGTCTGTGAGGGATAGTCTAGATTAGGTCAATCAGGGCTAAATGCTACCTTAAATGTGGGCTGCATCATTCCAAATTGGGGAAGGGGTGTCCGGGTGTCCTTAGAGAGGAAGTGAGCAGCTGCATTCATTTTCTTTCTATTCTCTTACAGCAGGTGCAATATATGACCCCAACCCCTGCTGCAAATTGCTTTTGTCAGTTATTTGGTAACTCATAACTATAGGTGTGTGGAAGCTGCAGGAAGACTTGTGGCACCACTGAAAGTTGGTGGCCTGGAAAGTTCTCCAGGCAATAGCCTTCTACTACTCTTTGCATGTCTTTAAGGAGGGGGAAAGTGGGCCCTGGATGAACGTAGGTGGCAGGCCAAGACTGTTATTGGTGACAACAGAAGGGACAAGATGCCACGCAGGCTTATGGTGAAAGCCAGGAAGGTTGTATTTCAGCTCTGGTGATCTGGACAAGAACGGGTCATTCTTAGCAGTAAAGGGTGCATCCAGTGTCTGGGGATATCAATTGATTATAGTGGAAATGTCCTCTAGGCCCATATAAGAAATGGCCCCAAACATGGTGTGTGCCTGGTCATCTAAGTGGCGTAGAAAACAAGTCTAGGTTAGGGTAACACAGACCTGTAGCAGATACGTGGCCTTGGTGAATGGACAGGGACCTGAAAATTGGGGACAGGGGTATGTGGGGTAGGGGTGTATAGAGGAAAGGAGGGAGGAATGGAACCTGCTGTGTCATGTCCATATTCAATAAGGAACTCAGTCTTGGAATGGATACTGAATTGGGCGTAACTACTAACACCAGCCAGTCTTGGTTCTTGACCAGGGTGGTCCTGGCACTATGGTCATATAATCCGAGGGATGGAGTGTCTCACCAGTGACTCTAAAATATCATGTGACTTTGCTATTGTTGCATGACTGTCTTGCCAGTGGGGTACACCAAAGCTGAGATACTTGCATGGAATCATTCCCAAGGATACCAGCCTGTCAGTTCCTGACATTACAGTGAGAACTGATGTTTGGCTTATCTCAGCCCATAGGTCCTCAGGCTTTAACAGACTTGTGAGTCTGGAGTACCAGGAGACCCCCTCACAGCAGAGGATACAGAGAAGTGATAAGACCATGGGCTTCTGACGAGTGCATGTATGTGTCCTAGGTACAGTGAATAGGTGTTATTTTCTCACTGGTAGTTCATACTCAAACACCTTTCAGTTGCATCTTATCTTCAACAGGAACAAGGCATGGCTAGGGACTGGAGTGAGGCAGGAGACTCTTGCTTTTCTCTTGTTCAATGGCAGTTGTTATGTTTTAAGAAGGATGGTGCATGGGTTGCAGCCCTTGGAAGCAAAGGGTTAGCTGTGGGAAGGCATGTGCACTGAGACTAGACAGGCTGGAGACTGGCTTGTGCCACTAGCTTTTGTTTCCCACTATTCACTGAAAATATTTTAGTACTTGAAATTAAGTTTAGACTTATTGGAAAGTCTCGAAAAATTTAGATAAGAGTTCCCACCCCCACATCTTCCTAGGTTGCATTCTTGACAGACTGCATCTTAAAATTATAAAACCTAGAAAAATTACTACTGATTTCCCATTATTTAGTAGACTACAAATGGTACTGATCTTGCCAACATCCTCACTGATGACTTTTTTTCTACAACCCAGGAGCTCACTTGGGGCTGTCACATTCTTTCACCATGGTCTACATCCTGCTGCTTCTGAGGGACACGGTCCAACAAATACAACATGATGTTCGTGAGGTTTTCTTGTGGCAGAGGGTCCTCAGTGTGGAAGCTGCAGTGTCTCTGCATCTTCTGGAGGTGTTCTAAGGCCCACGTGCCTTCACTGCAACCAACAAGCGAAGGCAAGTAGCCTTTCCCTTCTTTGTAATTCTTGGGTGGTTTTGATAGAAACTTCTCATTGTCTAATGTTCTTCTTCAAAGTTTCTCCCAGGGAGAGGCACTTGGGGATTAGATGCCACCTCCTGGAATGTGCAAAAGGAGTGTCTTCAGTGGAATGGGACTGCAGTATGGTGGTCAGAGAAAAGTGGTTGTGGTCCCTTCCAAGAGAGATCTGTTGCCTCATTTGGGAGTGGCGCAGTTGGCAAATGGCTATCAGCTCTTCAGGAAAGGCATTAGTTCCATCACCGTGTTAATGGACAACACTTTTCTTGTGAGGTGTACACCCGGTACTGATGGACATGAAGCTGTGATGCGAGTCCATGGGAGAGGATATATTTCAGAGCTAATGTTTGGCCAAGGCTGTGTAATAGCCTGACATCCCATCCCCACTGTCCAGTGCGACTGTCTTATCAGTTCTTCAAAAGGTATTCACAGCCTGACTCTTCCTGCCGAAGTCTCTTGAGTTCTGCCTTTGGAGAACCCCATGTCATTACTTTTTGCTTCAGTTCAAGGACTAAGGAATGAGGTGTCTGTAGTGGTTTGTCAAAACACAAGCTACAATAAAGCATGAACTATTACAGATAAATTTGTTTAAATGTTTCTGAAAAAACAAAACCACGGAAGCAAATGGGAAACCCTTTCTTTTCCTGTGCACACTGCCCTTTTTAGTAAAGGATTAGAGTGTCAATAAGGAGAGTGGATACCAGTGTTAACTATGCAAATCCTTACATAGTTCATAGCATTCCATGACCAAACCAAACTGTATAGCTGGTATGGGAAGTCCCCACAGAATGACACACTACACACACTTAGTATAACAACAACAAGCTAGATCTCCTCAGGATGTCTTCTAGAATGATTTTGTTTTAAATGGTACTCACAGACGCTCCTCCCATAATCTTGGGAAACATAACGGTAGAGCAGCCATCTGGACTCTGTCCGAAGGTGGTATAGGGTGTTTGAAACCAAGCCTTTTCGTTAGCCCAAACCACATCACAAAGAGGCAATATGGATGCTCCTAGTCCAATGGCTGGGCCATTAACTGCTACAATAATAGGCTTCTTAAACTGAATGAAAGTATTCACGAAGTTTCTAAAATGAAAAATAAATGGGGAATTACTAAAAACATTGCATATTTGAGCAGATGAAAAAAGTCTATCATGGAATTCAATTTATCAAGATGTAAACTCTATGGAAATCATTAAGAGATGAGATTTGCTTAAGGTGTTCTCTCTGAAGCTGTGGACTGTATGTTGTATGGAAGGCTTAAAGACAGCCTGGCTATCTATCACACAGGGAAGGGAGTTGCCACAAGTTCTATGGCTGGTGCTTGGCCTTTCTAGCCTGTGAAGATCCAGGAGACCACTCACATTACAGGAATCATGACCAATCGTTGAGTAATCCTGACTAGGCTTGGCTTGTGACAAACCAAGAATGTCTGGAGCTGAGTGAACAAGAGTGCGTTAGGTATCAGAAAGCACAGGGTCAGATCTAACCTTGCATGTGACTTCTGACAGCTGTCACCTGGGGATAGTCTGAATTTATGGTGAACTAGACTTAATGAGTTCCAAGAGATAGAGACAGGCTGGCTTGAGACACTGGACTGGCAAGCAAGCCAGTAAGTACTCAAGGCTTATGCCTAGAGTCTCCAAGTGCTGCAGGATCCCACTGTAGCAGGAACTCCAAAGACATCAATGTGAGGGTCAGGGCAGCCCTCACAGGGATAGCCAATGCCATCTAGGGGCTTGTTCTGGGGTCAGGCTGACAAAGAGATCACTTTTTGGGCTGGGGCCGCTGTCATACCACATTCGGGATCTTTCTCCCACACCTGGAAGCCAGGTATGTATTCAGAGATGGCTCTGTGTTATGATTTAACATGGTGGTGCAAAGATCCAAAATATAGAATGGAATCTCTCATAGGCAGAATGAGCCCCACGTCAGAATGGGGGTAACTAGAGTTTTTCACGACTGGTTTCTAAATCTGGGCCCACCCTTTGCACTACTTGCTTCCTATAACTCACCAATTTAAAATGCTGAAGTGATGAGCACACATCTCTAAAATTACAACCCAGCAGTTTAGGTTGTTCCTGTTACCTGGACACCTGCAGAATGGGCCACATTGACTTTTGGGAGGGGACAGCTTAGTGAGGTGACCAATGAGGACTGCCCAGCTCTACAGCTTTTTGGCCAGGCTGAGTAGAAGGCCTCCAAAGTTTGTAGGATCTGTGACTAGATAACAATGAACTCATTTAAACGAGTGATGTGCACTAGAACTTTCTAAACGAGAGAGCCTGAGGCATTATTACATCACACTGGGGTCTACTGTACAAAGAGAGCCAGGCTTTGGAAGACAGTCCTACTGCCTTCTGAGGATTAAGGATCAATAACTTGGGATGGTACTAACATATCCTATGCTTATTCTTGACACCTCTTGGAAAGGTGACCGCTAAAGTGATAGTCTCCATGGCAGGAGAGGATATTCCCAAAGAATGAGCTCCAGGTACCCAGAGTGGTTGGCCCAGTGCTGAGATCTAGAAACCACAATGGGATGGCAAATTGGTGTGAAAAGAATATACTGAGAAATAATAAAATGATTTATAATTTATGGAATACTGCTAAACCAGGTATATGTTTGTATAAAACAAAAATCTGTTTCAAAACCTGAACTTTATTGTTGCTCTGAGTAACTTTAGCTGAACTGGTGGCTCTTTCTAGAAAGGGTCAGAATTCCAGGTTGGAACAAAGATCTCCCCCTTTCAAGCAGAAACTGACCATTCTGATGTGTGAATTTAGATAACAGATAAAGATAAGGGCCACACAGAAAATCCCCAAACGCTCACAGCATCTTGTCTATTAGGAAGCATCCAGCCCAGACACATTATGTTCCCTGGGGTGGAGCTAGAGACTGTCCCCTCGCCTTAGCCTGGAGCCCCGAAGAGCCAGCATCAGGAAAAGGAGCTGCCTATTGCTTTTTTTGAGAAAGGATTGGTATTAAGCAAAATTCCTGATGGAGAACACTAACTTAGACATCAAAATGTTAGATATTCACATAAAAGGCTAGGGATTGTTTGCAGAAAATGAGGCAATTATGATCCAGAGCTGTTAGCAGCCAGTTGGCTGCTCTTTCTCAGCTGAGTTAAATAGGACTGAGTGGAAGAGGTGCCTGTTGGGAAGAGACCTGCACCTTCCACACAGGCCAGTCTAGGTAATTGCTCTAGTCCTGGTCCACAGACATTAGAAGCCAAATGCTGTGTACATTCCCGGTTCTTATGTCTTACCATCAATGTCCTGGACATTTTATTATGTCTTGGATCTTCAAAGTGGGTCTCAAAATGGAACAATCTAGTGTTTAACTCTACCTTCCTTTCTGACTTTTAGGAATGAAGTGCCTTCAACTCAAAGTTCTAAGGGATTTGAGATGAGGGTTGCCACAGAAACAAACACAACGAGCAAGAGAAAGGCTAATTGAATTTGGTATGACTTACTGTTTACCTATCCACAAGAATACTTTTGCTTAAATAAACAGGCAGGTTTTGCTGAAGAAAGATCTGGCTGTTCCCAGCTTTATGTCAGATGTGGGGAGATGTGAAAAGAAATGAAGGAAATAAACATTTAAAATATCCCAAAAGGTCAACAAATCAGACACGGACTACTTAAACCTTTTTTTTTTTTTGGGGAGGAGGGAGGGGGTGTGCTGACAGGGGTCTCTTCTGTTCTCCTAACCCTAACACTGCTAGTCTCTGCTGTCATCTAGAGTAACCCATTTCAGGAGGGAAGAAGAGGGCAACCCATCACTGGAGGAAGGAGGCAATCCATCAGCGGGGGGCTGGGGAGAGGTGAGCCTCAGGAAGATTCACAAGTAGAGCTCCAGGGAAGCAGACCTGGAAAAAGGAGCCAAACTTTTGATACATTGGCCAGTAAGCCTTATTTTTTTAAATGAGTTCTGTTTATTTTTTACTAGGCCAGGGCGATCTCAGAACATGTGCAAAGCTGCAAAGAGGCAGGATGATTTGGATAAAAATGAATCTCAAGTTTCTGCCTATCCATCTTGAATGGGGGCAGACTATGAGGAATGTCTAAGGTTGTCTTGGATTGGAGCCCTGGTGGCACTATTGGTTACGTGTGTAATGCTGCTATAAAGTCTGCCAGGAACTTAGGCATGTTCACCAAGCAATTTAAATTTCAATTATAGAAGAAGACTGTGCCATCTACTACTTTACCTACCACAAATCTGAAATTATTTAGGAGACCAGAGGTAACAATTCTGAATAATATTTAGTAAGACCACATAACTTCAAAAATCTTGGATTAAAAAAAAAAAAACACTATCAAGTATGATAGGCACAGTCCAACTTTTGAACATGATATTGTGATGTACAAGCTTCATACCTCAGAACTATACAATCAAGTTACCAAAACAAAACAACAAAAAACCAAACCAAACCCTCCAAAACAAATATGTTTTAGTAATTTTGTGTTGGATTGCATTCATAGTTATCCTTGGCCATGTGTGGCCCATGGATTGGGATGCTTGGAACAGACAAAGGATAACCTCCTAAACTCAAGTGTCTATTAATTTAAAAAATGATTAAATATGTTGTGTAAGGCCAAGGCAATGGCTCACAACTCCAAGGTGTGGGGTTTTAGGACCTGTAGGCAGCATCCAGGAGAGACACCTGGGGGAATCTATCAAAGACATGATCTGCCACACCTCAGACCCACCAACACAGAAAAACAAACATAAGCCCATCCCTGTCCTGCTGTGTGCCTCCAGATAGCTTATAGGCGAGCAGGTAGCCCAGTGACATAGTGACAATACTTAGTCCTACCATTTGGAGCCCATTAACTCTCAGAATCACAACTCTAGCTCTACAGGGACCTAGCAGTTTGGGAGAAGATCCAAACTACTACATTGCACTTGCAAACCTTCAAGTCTTTGGATTTTCAGTCTGCTACAAATTAGAAAGTAAAGCAAAAGGGTCCAAAGGGGTCACTGGAGGATAATGTCCTCATAGAGAGGTGGGCAGGGAAATAAAGATCTTCCTGGTAGGTGACTGGCTCACTCACTTTAACTAAAATTCACCTCTGAAAAATGAAGACACTTTTAATTATACCTGCAGTGACTAACGCAGTAACTGAGACACCCTTACAGTGGGATCTGGAGGTTCTAAGGAAGGTGTCTCAACATTAGGCCACAGCAGTTGAAAAAAAACCAACCAGAGGGGAAATGGCTGTGTTTCCAGGCTGGCAATGTTACACGGAGAAGGCAAACTGCCAGTAATAGTATAATTTACCTACTTAACGGAACCAAAACTAAATTTTTATTATACACACACACACATATATATTTTAAAATGCTTACATTGAGAAGGGCATCTTGATAATAACTAAAAAACATACCGTAGACTTGAAAATTGTTAAGAAAGTAGTTTTCAAGCTGGGCATGGTAGTGGCCTGGATATAATCCCAGGACTTGGAAAGCCTAGGTAGGAGGACTATAAGATCAAGGTCAGATTGTCTACGCAGCAAGGCCCCGTCTCAAGGGGGGAGGGGGGGAAGAAAAGGAAAGAAAAAAGGGAGGGGGTAGGTATGCTTCCAACGTTCTCACCACAGATGGGAAGGGTGATTTAGCCACTTTACAATATACATGTCTCACAATATAGTTTTTAATCATCTCAAAAATTTATTTAGAAAAGACTGGGAAGACATACAAATAAACAGTACGTTCTCTGGGCTGAGTGGGACTTTTAACAGCATTATTTATTTTTCTGTGTAGTTAGAAGGAAGGAAGTTGGAGCAAACAAACAAGAATGTACAGTACTAACATTTACAAAAAGAGAAAGACCGAGAGCCACACCCATTTGTGACCTTATGGAGCTGTCACAAAGCTTGAACAACTTTGTGAAGAGAGGGATGAGAATGTGCAGCACAAATATACAGTAGGCTGACACAGCACAAAGCTCCCAGAATGCCCCGAGCTTAAGCCAACCCTGAAATTAGTGATCTGCCCAAGGCAAGCGGTAATTTACGCTGGGCCCTTAGAGAAGGCAGAGGAGTTAATTAATCTTGCTACCAGTGCCTTTCAGAGGAAGATGTACACTTTACTCCCCAGACTGGTACCCTGCAAAACCCCAGGGGCTCGGTTGAAAACCCCCGCCTGTACTTACCTGATAGCATCTGCCATCTTAGTGCTTTCTCTCTTTCTGTCGTCCGTGAGACGCCGTATAAAATAAATAAAGTCCAGACCACAACAGAAGACACTGCCCACAGCGCTGAGCAGCACCAGCTTGCTGTCGTCGGCCGCAGCGGTGCTCAGGGCACTCTGAACTTCTTTCATCACCTGGAAGTCACCACAAGTGCAAGTGGTCAAGAGCACTTTGGGTACAGAATACTACAAAGCACCTTTTAATGGGGCAACTTAGGGCTGAAAAGGCTTCCTGAGTCTGATGCAGTTCTCTTCGCCCACCTTTACTGTAAATACACAGCATGCTTTGTATTTTCTATAACCAGAGATTAGAGAGCTGGGGATGGAGCTGAAACGCAGCTACAAACATTGGTGGGGAGGCACGTGAATCTATGTCACCTGGCTCTTCTATAACCATTGTGGCTCTCAGCAGACTGGGCATGTCACACAGACACCTACGGGAATGTCTAGTGTGCACAGCAGGTGGCACATTCAGCCAGTTTCAAGAAATGAGTTAAGTTCTAGGAGTTTGGGCTGTGTAGCAACCTAATACATCGAGGAGAGAAGCCTAAATCATTGGTTGCATGACAGCACTGAGTACGGGTGTGCCAGTGAGGGAGGGCACACGCCACCTGAAATAATCTCTGTGAATCATCTGAAAGTAACTAATAAAGGCACCCTGCTGTCTGAAAGTGGAACAAAGACCAGCCCTGTTTTGTGACCCTGGACAGATAGCCACGTGCTCAAGACGTGCACAATGGAGGAAGGACAAGCAACTACCAGAACTCAAAATTCTGGTGAGGTACAAGTTCCAACACACTGGATTCTAGAGCCTTCATGGAACTGGTTTCCAAACTTTGCAAGCACACTGCCCCGGGACACTGAAAGGTCCTTTCAACTAAGTACATGTGCTGCTATGATGCTAATGGCATCTGTACAGCAGGATGACAGTCATATTCTTTAAAGGGACTAAGACCCGGGTAACTTTTATCTTGTCTGGACAAGAACCCAACAAGATTCCGATGAACACTAAGGTAAAGCCTGTGTATACACATTTCCACATGACTTCAGGGAGGTCACGGGATCACTGAGCCCTATGCTCTACATGTAACTGGGGAGCGAAGAGGGGAAGGATGCAGCTACCACCCCTACTTCAAAGCCATAGTTCCCACAGCAGAGAATGGAGTGGCTGCTTAGCACCCTCCTCCTGTGAGGTCACTGCAGCCAAAAGCATCATGAGAAGACAGGCTGTCACCTCTCCATAGAAAGGTCACAAAGAGTGCACTCAGCAAAGCAGGCCACTTCGACCCCGGGGCATGGAGAAGCATGGGAGTCACAGCCTGGGGCGTGTCTCTCACCTCTGGGTTTAGTGAGTTATTCTCTGATGACTTTGTGGATAACAAGATGTGGGTGAAGCCATCCTGCTTCCTGACGACAATATCTCTGTATCTGTAGGCACTCTCTGTCTGCCTCACACTGAAACGCAACCGCTTGTCAAAAGGCTGGTCTCTTCTGTCGTCAATAAATTTCCTTTTCCCGGCTGTCACTCCTGTAACAGATGTCTGTATGGTGGCTGTTCCATTGGCTGTTAGGGCATCCATGAACGGAGATGTACCTGCCAAGAGTTTGAAATCATAGTGGTCTGGGATGTCCTATCAATCAGTTCCCAGTGTCGCCTCTGAAGATGCCCACTGGAAACCCAGGACTTGGTTATTAAAGAACACCACAAATGAGAAGCTTGCCCAAGTTTAATTTTACTTTTAAAGAAATCACCTTCTTGCCTATGTAGTGTTCAAACAGAAAAACACTGACCAGGTACCCACTGAATGAAGTGCCTTGCAAAGAATGGGACTAGGTCTCAAGGAGAACACAGGCTCTACATTTGAGAATTTAAAAAGAAAAATGAGACTGACTGACGAAGATTGAAGAGTCAAGGACAACTCCCATCTAAATTCAAGAGAGACCAAGAGACACACAGAGATGAAGCCACATGTCTTGGCAGGCCAATATTGAAATGTCCACTGTTCCAGAAGATACCTATGAGGTCTGTCTATTGGACCCATAATATTTTACCACATCCTTTTAAAAAAAAAAATGAGACAAGGGTTTACTATATAGCTCTGTCCTAAAACTCACTATGTAGACCAAGGTGGCCTTGAACTCAGAGATCCCCTGCCTCTGCCTCCCGAGTGCTGGAATTAAAGGCATGTGCCACTACTGCCAGCTTCCATGTCATTCTTTAAATTAGCATAGGTTTTGAGCACAGGTGAAGGAGGATCTGTTTGAGACAGCTCTCCTTTCCCCCAGCAGCGTCCCATCATGCATCACTTCTCCTCAGTATCAAGCTGTGTACCATTTTCAACCAGTCTTGGCACATGATTCCTAAACTTTTCTTTCTCAGTGGGAGAAAAGTCATGATATCCAGCAAGCAACCTGAGGCTGACAGAGTAGAAAAACAAGACTGATGGCCAAGATTAAATCACTGAATAGGAAGTGATGAGATGAACAAAAAAAGACATTTCAAAACTAATAATCATCCATATGTAAAGTCTTATGAGTAGAACAATGACCTCTAAGGGGGAAAACACAGGTATGCTAAGTTGATGGCCCATGGAATGCTAGTCAGTCCCTAAGCACCCCAGGCAGACAATACTAACAGACTACAACCTAATTACCCCCAAGGGGAAAGAGGCAGCAGAAGCCTTGCTCAGCACAGCACTCCAGGACTAATCAACAAGGGCCCATACAGAAACAAGTCAAAATGTTTTTGCTTCTAAATCCTAGACATGCCACAGTTGGTTCAGCTGTCAACTTGACATACCTGGGAAGAAGGAATCTCACTTGAGGCAATGCCTACACTGGCCAGGCCTGTGGTATGTTGGGGGTGGGGAGTCTGATTTTTTTGACTTCTGGTTTACTATACCAGGGCTCTAGCTGTATAAGAAAGGCAGAAGGAGGCTAATAAGTGGCATTTCTCTGTGGTCTCTGCTTCAGCCCCTGCCTCCAGATTCCTCTGCCTTGGATGCTGATGTTGGCTTTCCTTGATGGTGTGAGCTATAAACCAAACACACCCACACCCTTTTTTCTCCAAGATGTTTTTGGTTATGGGACTCATCACAATGACGGACACCAAACTAGGACAATGTAGTTGTCAAAATTTGCTTCTTATTATGCCTATTTCTTACAGAAGTACATCTAAAAGAGGAAAGTACTGTGTTTTCAAAAGAAGATCGGAAAATTTTCTTTCTTTTCTTTTTTTTTTTTTAAAAAAAAAAAAAAAATCACACCTCTGAGGCTCAGGACAGAGGTAAATATATGATGTTTTAGAAAGAATAGCTCATGTTTGCTGTATGTCAAGAAAGCCAGAATGAAGCCCCTGGGCCCTGGATGTTTAACAAAGGTTAGCCAGGATACATGTACATCACTCGTGCATGTAGACACAGGCAAATCATAAATGTGAAGACCTGGGGGTGGGCATTCACCGCACAGAGAACAACTTTGTCTTTAGAAGTCTAGGAGACAAAACAGGAATGGTGCCTTTAACTAAAGCAGAAAATAGTAACCACTTGGACTCATCACAAGAAAAAAAAAGTCCATCTTCCCCTTACTTTCATATCAGCACAAACATGAATAAAAATCATTTAGAATATACTGGAAGTAAGAATAGCTTCAAAAGGTGTAATGTTTGGAAAAAAAGACCATTTGTCAAGGCAGATATTTTTATGTGAACAGGTTAGTTAGTAAAGGCAGCCTTGAGGCATTACTATTTACTTTATAATAATACAAACAAGTTCCAATTACAGGGGTCTGAGTTTCCCAGTGATAAATGTTCCTCAGTCATCTGTTGGTACAGTTGGTACAACTCCAGACAGTTGAGAGCATTCACGAATGAAAGCACCCAGCTGAACCTTAGCTCCTTGGAACTAAGATCAAGTTTGCTAAATAAACCCACTCCCTGCCACCGCCTATTCCCAGAGCTTGGCTGTAAGTGTAGATGACCCCTTCTGCTCCAACCAAGCACTCCAGGCACTCAGGGTTCTGGATACATACCAACAACAAAGGGACAGCACAGAGAGTGGGGGGGAGGGACGGACTGACGGACGGACCGACCAGACTGACTGTGGTGCACATCACTACACAGCTGCTAGGCAGGATACTGAAGACTGGAATACTCTTCTTGCTCTACCTGGGAGTTGCTAGTTTTCATACCGGGGACAAGGCTAGGAGGAATACTTTTAAGCCATCACTGCAGTGTAGCTACCAGGTAAGAGACACAATGCATTCCCCCCCACCAGGAGGTCACCCCCTTGCTCCACTCATCAGTACCTTTAAAACTTTGGAATACAAAGGCAGTTTCATGGCCAGGTAGTATTTGTTTGAGACAGGACTGTTAGAAACTAGAGAACACAGCACATCCATGCAGTGGTGTGTCCTTCACGGTGGGCTGTGCTGGGGATGTCTGAGCATGCTGCCCCAATACCAGCACCCATGTACTTCATTCATCTCTCAAGAGGCTCCAGTGTATTCCTAGACAGCACCACCCAAACAGTCTGGGCCCTGAGGACGGATCTTCTACCAATAGGTAGAAGATCTCTTGCCTATCAGATCACTTACATTACAATTCATTAGCACTAGCTATGGTTGGGAGTCAACACAACAGGAGGAATTGTCACAGCATTAGGAAGCTTGAGAACCACGTCTCTGATACACTTGACAGACTTACAGTCCAGAGTTTCAAGCTTACCAATCTGGCCCATGTGTCTGGTTCCTGAATAGTGGTGGCTTGAATGAGGATGGCTCCCAGAGGTGCATGTACTTGAATGTTTAGTCCTTAGCTGGTGAACTGTTTGAGAAGGGTTAGGGGGTTAGGGGGTGCTTCCACACTGGAGTAGGTGTGAACTTCTTGGAGGAAGTATGCCACTATGGGCTTTGAGGTTTCAAAAGCCCACAGCAGGCCCAGTGCCCTGCTACCTGTGGATCTGGATGGGCCTCTCAGCCATTTTCTCCAGCACTATGGCTGCCTGCACACCACCATGTACACCCATCAAGACGATAATGGACCAGACCCTCTGGAACTGTAAGTAAGCCCACAGTTAAAGGCATTGTTTTACAAGTGTTCCCTTGGTCATGATGTTTTCTCACAGCAACAGAACAGTGATTAAGACAGCCTTCCCGCCCCTTTCCCACTGGCTCACTGCCATCCTGGAAGACAGGTGGTTGGCTGGGCAGGATGCCAAGTCTCTGTTCTGACTACTATTAACAATGGGGACGGGAGGGGGCACAGGCCTTTGCTGTGGAAAGAGATGGGCACAGCACCAGCCTCTGCTGTCACACATGCAATCAATTCCAGCCCCCTCCTTTGCCCTGCTTGCCTTGTCCTGATCTACTTGACTCTCAGGCATCACTCTTTGAACCACTTTTATCCAATGGCACAATGACATCATCAAGTTCCCTTGGCCAATGAAACTCCCCAAATCTTACTTTCTTAAAAATATTATTACTTGTGTGTGTGTGCACGTGCACACACATGTGCTTCTGTTTGAGAAATCCAGAAGGGGTGTAGATCCCCCGGAGCTGGAGTCACAGGCAGTTGTGAATTCTGGGGTTGGGACTTGGGTCCTCTGCAACTAGCTACCTCCTTAAACTTTCATTCTGCAATTTTCTCTACAAATTAAGAACCAATAAATAAACATTACTAAACTTAATTGACCTGTACAAGATTTCCATAACATGAGTCTCTTTCATACCTCAGACTGTTGTGATAATGACTCAGTTTCCAGCCCTGAGCACACATGTACCCAGCTAGCTCTCCAAGGAGAACTGGGGCTGTCCTACAGCCAGGGAAAGGGCCAAGACACCTTGTGCCAATCAATTACAGTATGGCGCTAGCAGTTGCCATAATAAAGACACATGCTTTACAGAGCAAAGGGAACCTACAAGTGGCAAATGTTTAAGCATCATTTTAGTCCACAAAACACCCAAATAATTCATTACAACTGCAAAATAACTCAGGAATGTCAGAAATAGACAAAAAGCAGATGAATGGAAGATTGTGAATGAAAACATTAAACACTCAACAGCACACAGCTTAGGAACCATAAAAGCTGTGGTTTCTTCGATTAAAGTGAATTGCTTTAATAGCTAACTTTTCAGTGAGAACTAATCTAAAAATATTAAGTATGCAAAGCAGTAAGGAGAGTTGTTGAAAAATACTATGTTGAGACAAAAAGAACTACCAATTAATGAGAGATTATCTAACTTTAAATCAACTCCAAATAGTTAATTATACCTTCCTAAACCCAAACAAGACCAGTCTAATTAAATGGAGGGATACACAATAATGATGTATTTGACATGCTGGGTGTGGTGTGCTGCTCCCAGCAGCAGGGTGTCTCACCCTGATTCACCAGACTGCCAGGGAGCTAGCTCTTTGAAAGTGCTTTAGGTCCACCCTGACAGCCACCCACAGTTCCTGGGGTAGAACACAGACTCTTACAAAGTTGACATAGAAAAGCACCACTCAAGAGCTGATGCATCTGATACCTGCCAGCGATGGAGCATATTCAAGGTGTGAAACAGCCCCAAATGTAAAATACACAGGGCAGAAGGGAGGTT